AGAGACAATTCTATAACCAATGTTCCAGCGATGTGTCAATATTTCATTCAAAATGATCTGCTACCAGAAATTTTAGCCAAATATCCCCAGTTTGCTAACTGTAGGTAGTAACTAAGTGATTGTAACCTATCCACCGCTGCCCACTGGATGGGGGGCGGTGTGCAGGACAAACATATAAATTTTGACACTAGCTCTCCACATATGTCAGTTGCTTAATTTAGAACCTGTACTTGAGGTCGATCTCGAACCCATTGTTGATGTGATGACTTATATTGAATTTTGTAACTAGCTCATCAAGATTGTAACTTGCTTAGCTAAATGAATTGTGGGGTTCAGTCCCTGAGCCCATTATGTGCCTCTGTAACCCTTTCCACTACCGCCCACAAGATGGGTATGGGGTGCATAATAAATGAACTAAACTAACTCTCCCACCCTACCCATCAACATTGGTGTTCCTCAGGGCAGCATACTTGGCCCTCTCCTCTTTCTCATCTACATTAATGACCTTCCAAATGCCTCCCAACACCTCAAACCAATTCTATTTGCTGACGACACAACCTTCATTTACTCCAGTCCTGACCCCCTTGCTCTAAATGCCACAGTAAATACTGAGCTAAATAAAGTCCATCTTTGGCTAACTGCCAACAAACTCACCCTTAACATTGACAAAACTTTCTATATTCTGTTTGGCAATAAATCGTCTAATCAAATAAATCTCAAAATAAACAATACCCAAATTTGTAACAAATTAGATGGCAAATTCCTTGGCATTCTCATTGACCATAAGCTGAATTTCCAGGGACACATTCTAAATATATCAAAAAAAGTTTCAAAAACTGTGGGCATTCTTTCTAAGATCAGATATTATGTACCACGCCCTGCCCTGGTGACTCTCTATTACTCCCTTATCTATCCATATCTCAATGTATTTGTGCTTGGGGCTCTACTACCCAAAATCACTTACGTCTCTAATTACTCAACACAAAGCTGCTATTAGGACAATATCCAACTCTGGCCCCAGACATCACTCGGTACCCCTACTCAAATCTCTGAATATGTTAGACATTAAGTCACTGCACATACCTTGAGGTTACCTTGAGGTGCTTCCGGGGCGTAGCGTCCCCGTAGCCTATTTTCGATATAAAAGGTCATAATTTGAAAATGAAAATAGGTGCAGAGAGTCAGAATTCGGCTCAAAAATCACGCTCAGGAGTCAAATTTCCGACATTTCAGAAATTTTGAAAACTGCAGAGGGGTTTGGGCAAAATATGACCCATCGCCGTTTTCAGTAATTGGCATATTTTCGGTATAAAAAGTCGTAATTTGAAAACGAAAATAGGTGCAGAGAGTCAGAATTCGGCTCAAAATCACGCTCAGGAGTCAAATTTCCGACATTTCAGATATTTTGAAAACTGCAGGGGGGTTTGGGCAAAATATGACCCATCGCCGTTTTCAGTACTTGGCATATTTTCGGTATAAAAAGTCGTAATTTGAAAACGAAAATAGGTGCAGAGAGTCAGAATTCGGCTAAAAAATCACGCTCAGGAGTCAAATTTCCGACATTTCAGATATTTTGAAAACTGCAGGGGGGTTTGGGCAAAATACGACCCATTGCCGTTTTCAATAATTGGCATATTTTCGGTATGAAATGTCGTAATTTGAAAATGAAAATAGGTGCAAAGAGTCAGAATTCGGCTCAAAAATCACGCTCAGGAGTCAAATTTCCGACATTTCAGATATTTTGAAAACTGCAAGGGGGTTTGGGCAAAATATGACCCATCGCCGTTTTCAGTAATTGGCATATTTTCGGTATAATAAATCGTAATTTGAAAATGAAAATAGGTGCAGAGAGTCAGAATTCAGCTCAAAAATCACGCCCAGGAGTCAAATTTCCTACATTTCATTTATTTTGTAAACTGCAGGGGGGTTTGGGCAAAATATGACCCATCGCCGTTTTCAGTCCCACAAGGTCTCCGTGCCTTGTTCTGTACTCCAACACGGCCGAATTACTGACCATTCCCAGGATGCACGAACTGTGCATAAATTGATCACTTTGGTAATTATTAATTAATATTTTTGTCACATATATTACCAAATATCCGTCGGCTCTTTGAGGGTGGCGTGCAGAGTACATGTGGGGATACAGAGTACATGTGCTGGTACAAAGGATATGTGGTGATACAGGGTACATATTATTTATTGTGTCGGTGACAGGAAGCCAGCGTTTATTAATTCACGTTAAGCTTATATTGAGGTCCCCCCCACCAAGGTTGAATTACTGACTCAGTCCAGGATGCAACTAAACAGCAAGTTGACTCCTGAATACCTACTCGCTGTTAGGTGAGCAGAGGCACTAGGTGAAAGGAAATGTGCCCAACCAATTCTGTCCCGCCCGCGATTCGAACTTGGAATTCTCGATTGTGCGTCAAGAACGAACCAAACTGTGCTACCGGGACCAATGAAGCACAGGGGGTCCCGGTAGTCACTCCTGTATGTGAAAGCACAGGGTGAAAGTGGTGGTATAGAGTACATGTGCTGGTATTATTGGACCCAATACCCATTCTGTGGGTGTTATGGTCCCTATTCCCATTCCCTGGGGGGTTGTGGACCCCCTTCCCCATTCTGTAGGTTTAGTGTAGTGTACCCTACTTTAAACGTTTTCTATAATACATAATGCACGATTCATTTTCTTTAATTTATATAGAGCATATTCTATTGTATAAACCTAAAGAGGTTGGTGCCTGGTGATAGCTAATAACTGTAAATCTACCACAGGATAACTACGAACATTAGCATCATAGGAACTATGAGCATTATGTGACACAAGTACTATGGTATACCCAAGACAGGTTGCTACATCACCTATGGTAACTGGTTTGTTGTGTTGTGCAACTTTCCTCTCACAATTCAAAGAAAGAGATCCAGGTGTGGTACGTCAGAGGAGCATGTAAAGGGAAACATTGTACAAAGAGTGGAAGGGTTAAAAGTTTTCAATTTAACCCTTCAACTCAACAAGTCATACAGGGATGATTTCGAGTAAAGTGAAACCTTGATTCTGTGAATCACAGACGGAACACTCACTTTCCATGCTGGATTTACTCACCCTATTTGACAAACGTAAAGCAGGGAATGTGTGGATTTGCTTCAGACGTTGGGACTGAGTTCAAAGATGGAGGCAACATTACAAGAAATAAAAGCCTTGGGAAAGCCACTGAGCATATTTAAATCCAATTTTTGTTTTCCAGTTGCAGAGGTTTCTGTTCAGTAAAATACGAGCCATTTTTTCCATTTAAAAAGGTAACTGCAGGCTTGGGCATTGGAAATATGTTTGATGTGGTTGAATTTCTTTACAGACAGACTCTCTTGGTTGGTTACCCTTCATATGATGGACATTTCTGCAAGCGCTCCCCATGTTATCCTCTGATGTTTCACCGATTGTTTCTCTTCATTTACAAGAGCATGTATGTTGAATAACTTGTTAAGACATTTGTTTCAATATGTGATTTATGTAAATTAACACATTTCAATTGATAATTGGTTTACCTGGTATGCTGTATTACAGAGAGTAGTGAAAAGGATGTGAACATAATATACAATGGTGTTGGGCTCTGGGTGATGACATATGGCCAAATTGGCACCATATGGGCTAGAGTATAGATCAAAAGAAAGGTGTAAGCCACCAATGTGACACACACACACACTCACACGACAGCAGGCTCCACCTAGTACACAAATCCATGAAATGGTGGTAGGATTTTTTTTACTGGGTCAAATTAAAATCTGTTATATTCACAGAGAGCTATTATATCCATATTTGCATCATACATGTAAAACCCAGACGGTAAGTGTTCAAATCATCATATAACAATGACTGCATTCCCTTAATAATATTCATGACAATAGCCGCATTTACCTAGTACACGTGACCATGAAATGGTAGCAGGATTTTTTCAAGGGGCAAAGGTAAAGTCCATTACATCCACATAGCACTATTATATCTGTATTTGGATGCATGCATGCAAAACTCGGGCAAAAATTGTTTAAATAATCAAATAATAATAACGCATTACCCAGTGAATTAACGAATGACGATAACCGCTGTCTAAGGGTTAAAAGTGTTGCCATTCATACCAAATATTTCCATACTATGGGGCTGATTTTACTGAGCAAAATTGTAATTGCAGTCTTGAGTAACAAAATTACCTGTGTGTGAATTTTTGTTACTCAAAAGTGAGTCCTTCACTCATCCCTCTCCCTGTTGTCGTCATCATCTCCTTAATATTATGAAGATCACTTTTGATGGTAGGACCCCCTTCCATCTTCCGTCATTCTTGCCAATGCCCAATGCTCCATTCAGGAGTAGACACCTCTGTAATAGGGGTTGGAATTTTGGTCATGGTTCTTTCAGGTGCAGCAGTCAGTTGTCCTTTGCCCTTTCTTCTGCTGCTCTCCAATCTGTGGCCACACGTGTTCCTCTTGAATCTCCATCTGCCACTTCCACCCTTCCCGCTCATCTCCTCCCCGCCAGGTTAGTACCACATTACTTTCATGTATAGTACTGGTATTTAAAACTATGAACTGTATTTCATTTAACTAAATGAGGCAGTAAAGGTACAATCGCATTACAATTATTTACAGTTAATGGCAAGTAAAGTAATGTTTGCATATGTCTTAAACACTTAAATGTTATATACCTCTAGGACCTTCCCCATTTAATACCTATACTGTACTTTGGAAGCAATGTCTCTTGAATGAATAAGGATAAACTAATTTGATTGTATTAAGCTTTACAAATGATTCTCAGTTTTTATTTTGAGTCCTCCAGTCACAGACCTAGAGAAAAGACCAACTAGGCAATTAACATGAGCAATTTTTTTTATTTTTTTAAATGTATCAAACTTATGATTAAAAATAACTAATAAATGTACAGTATTTATTTGGTAAATCAATTAAAACAATGTTCCTGAAGTTATAAACACATAGGAAAATAACAATCTTGGTCATAAAAAAACATTCTATTTCTCACTTCACTTACACTGGATAATCTGATGAACTGATACATTGACTACGAATCTAACAAACGCAGTGTTTGACAGGATAAACTTAGGAAACACTGAGGCACAACTGCAACCCTCAAACTTTCAAAGAACATGCTGTTAAAAAACATCTTTGTAGCTCCTTGAAAGCTGCTGTTGTCAGCCAGTGATTCCTAGAAATGATGTAAACTAAATATATCATGAATGAAAGTTTCAACCAGTCCATAGTGCATGTACGAGCTGCTGGTGTATATGGCAATAAATGTGTCAGGTCTTGCTCGTACACACACTATGCACTCGAGAAACAGATGCTGTGAATAAAAGAACATAGATGTGAACTTGTATGACTTCATTCACTTGCAATTCACTTTATACTTTAATACTGTGGCACATTGTAAACCAAGATATGGTGGGAAGGAGTGCATATGTATTCTAAAACTAGAGATAAAAATTTCACAGACAGAAATGATGCAATGTTTACAAGTACCCTCAGTAACGACTACTGAAATTGTAAACAAAGAAATTATCCCTGGCTATTTACATTATTTATCACGACTGTTATCAGAATATATGCAGCTACATGAAGACTGTCAATGAAGGCAACCAAGGATCTGAGAATGAATTTTCACATGAATAGTGACTGGTTGACCTGAGACAGTAATTCACTAAGGACTGTAATTCTATTGACTGGAAGAAATAGAGGCCCTACTGAACCACTAATAAAATCAGAACAACTAATCCCTATGCTTAAAAGGTAACAGTTGCCTTTAACATCCACATTCTTCACGTAGTTTATAATTGAAATCACTATATCATCTTAGGTGAAATTAAACTGCTTCCACATGACTCACAGAACATGAAAAAAAAAAAAAAAAAAAAAAAAAGGTTCAGTGAGCCATGAAATGCAAGGCTTTGGATACACTCAATCACTCCTCAGGATGAGTAGGATGATGATTCACATAACCTAATAAATGAATATATAACCTACAAAAGTTCTAATAGGTACTGAAAACCTGTCTGTAAACAACACATAATAATCACTGTTACAACTTTGCTCAGAGGTGATTGTCCTTTACAGCAAGAAAAGCTTAGAACTTTTTATTCAGTTCATATTCTACTTGTGAAATCTACAGTGTATTAAGAACAGTTTGTTACAGCGAAGCTAACTAGAGAAAGTGGTAAAAAATATTATGGTGGACCAATACCAACTAGTTCTTATGGATTCCGAGTCCACATGCTCACTCAAGAGCCAACCATAACCTTACACCTACCTGATGGTTCATCACTCATTATAGAATGGTCAAGAATAAATTATCTGCAAATTCATCATATGCATCTACTTAAATTTGGTATACAAATCTAAGTCAAAGCCTATTTCTGATCAATTTGTGCAATGATGCAATTCTATACGTTTAAAAGATCCATTTTTGAACACAACATATCCTGAAGTCACTGACACGATACTTTAACTAGGTCTAACAAACCATAATTCCACAAACAATTAAATGCATAATATTCAATCAATAATGGTATGTCCATGAAACAGCTACCTCACAAGCTGCACAACAAGACACCATAGTAGCTGTGCACTTGCCTACACTCAAAACTAAAAGCAAACAAAAAAGCTGCTGCAGCACCTGAGACATAAATGAACAATTATTGGAAAGGCCCTTCCTTGCATGCGCTCAAAAGTTGTAATGGTTAACAACAACAAATATTACAAATAAAGGGCATATGAAATTCAGTACCGGTACAGAATAAGAATGGCTGAAAAAAAATACAATTTGGACCAAATTAACCTAATAAATTTAACGAATCCTGCGCTCTTCCAGGTTTCATTTGACATTCAAGTGTTATAAATAATTAAAAAAAAAAAAAAAAAAAGTGCCAATCATTTATGTTCATATATTTTTTATACAAATATCTAACCCACATTTCACTATTTGGTTCTTCGTACATGGCCAATATATCTTGGTACTGTACCTAGCCTGCAGGTTAGGCACAAAAAATGTACGTAAATGGTGACTTGAAATTACTATAGTGGGCAGCCAATGACAGTATATTTAATGTACTGTACTCGTATGACCGTAGGTCACTCTGTTTACTGTATATATAATTAAAAACATGTTATCTTGTGGTTGATGATAACTTACAAGTCAGTATCATACCAAGCTGCCATCTGATTATTGTCACGAGGAGGTTGTGGTGGCATTTGCTGATCAAATGTTAAGTCTGGATGGCCGGGATGGCCTGGAGGTAGATCCCTGGGGTCTATAGGACCATAATTTGATCCTGGACCTCCATGCTGAGAACCAATATCCAAGCCTTGCATCGAGTCCACAGGCACATGATCGTAGCCTCCTGAAAATTTTAAATTCAGGCAATTAATCATGATCTGGATGAAAAAAAGATAATTACACTTTAATATAACACAATGAATATGAGTAAGTAAATTTGCTATTTGTACTTTATACATAGCAGCATATAGCAGCTTTATACATAGCAGTATATACAATCAAAACTCTAGTACTGTACTCTAGATGTCAAGCTGCAAGAAACTGGTAGTGGTAACTATGGAAAAACAACTCTAATTCCTCAAAAGCATCAATTGTTTTTGTGGTAAATACTAGCGTCGGACTAGTCATTGCAATAACACACTGTGTAGGAAAAGTTCACACAACCCTTACCTTGGTAGTTAGGCCCAGCATGGCCACTGTGAACACTCGGTGGCCCCTGTGCATACATGGGATCATAGTGACCTTCAGGGGGAGCTATAAAGTCTTGAAGGTCTGGGGGCATGGCAGCCATATCCCCTTGCCACATAGAGCCATCCTCACGGAATAAAGAATTGGTAAGCTCCATACTCAGCCGTTTCTTGTAATCCTGGGGCTTATCCTCCGACATGCGGAACAGCACAGCTGCCGCATACGTGGCTACAGAAGCAGGGGGAGGGGGGGGAAATATTATAGTTCATTTATAAAATTCATAACCAAATGATTTAATACTTGAGTTCAAAGATGCAAACTTCATACACAAATGCAAGCCTATGTAGACTAGCATAAAAGTGTACTTGTACACAATCATAAATATCAATTTGTGGAGAAATTAAAATATAATATATTGTAATACGTATCTGGCAAATTTTGTACACAACTAAAATCAGCAGCAATAACAGATAAAGTGCACTGAAACTATCAAAACACAGACTCGGGTAAAGTATAACACTACCAGTGATAGGATGAAAATGTACACTTGTGTATATATGAAATTTATGTAAGGAATTTACACCAAGTCTTTTGCACTCTCCTGAGTGCTTTATCAAAGTCTGAGTGTGTGATTAGGAGACTTACATCTCAACGTCTAATATAATCGGGAGAGTGCGAAGGGCTTGGTGTAAATTCCTTACATAAATTTCACATATACACAATTGTGGGATATTATCCTGATATTATTTCCGTGAGAAGGCATTTCTATTACTATCTATCAGTGATGATACCCACCAACGCCCTCGTTGCGGGAATGGAGAAGCTCGGTAAGAGGAGCAGTCGCACCTTCCTGCTCAATCATCTCTGCCCCTTCTTTATCTGCTGCCAGCTCACAGAGCACTCCTGCTGCCACACGTTCAATGTTTTCAATGTCATTATAGAGCAACTGAAAAAAGATAAAAAACATCAAATTTATTCATACCCAAAATACAAAGTAACAGTGGTTTTAATGAAAAATAATGCAAGCGTCCATTCAGTATTTCTTGCAAATATTAAAACAAGAAGATAATTATTAGTATTTGAAAAAAGTCATGTCTGTATATCCTTCAAAATAAGCAGCAGTCATGCTTATTCACAACCTCCCCCTTTCCAACACTCAGCATTTCATTGATCCTCCTCCTCTTTTGAGAGAAAAAAAATAAGGTACTTCTTATAGCATTTTAACCCTTAAATTGCTATAATTACAGCATCATGAAAAAACACTATAAAGCTGCTCCCCATGCTATATTGACATTTCATTCTTGCTTAAGTTGTTTATAAATATCAGCTGGTGACTAGTAACATAGTCACAAAATGCCTTAGGTAATCACCTATCACACTTGAAGAAAATTTTCTTATTATCCATCCCCCTCACTTGTATGCTGACATGCCGATACATAGTACATTCAACACAGACTACCATCTCATCCAGTTTGTATGCCACCAAGCATGAGACTAAATATATATTTGTATTTGTAATGAGACCTTTCAAAGTTGCATATTTGCCTTTTCCAGAATTTTTGGGAGTTCATCAGTCTCTAGAAGCTCTTAGCAGATAAGAGTACTTTTGCAGCCTCCATCAGCAGGTATGGTGATACCGGGTCTGCCCCACTGCCTTGTTGCAGCTAGGTCCTGCAGTTGTATTTTTATCTCTTCTACAGTGATTACTATATTGTTTACTGTTACTTCTAGTTGGTCTGTCTTCTCCCGCCTAAGGAGAGCATGCAGCCTCCAATTATACCTAGTGGCCATCAAGATGACTTCCAGAAGCAGTTACAGACTACTAGATGCCAATCGAGTAGTGCAGCCTTGCATCTTCAACATTCGTGTTCCACGAACTTGCAGGATGTGTAAATTTGAATATTGTGTACTTAAAATATGTGGTGCACACAGTTTTTCTGTGAAAATGTATTTTCTTTTGTTCAATTACTTATGTTTTCATATATTTCTACATTTCTGCAATGCTTACTGAATGAATGTTATTTTCAGCTATTTCTGTATTTCTGCAACACATACTAAATGTAGTGTATCAAAGGGAAGATTAAATTAAGAGCTTGTCAAGGATTGGTGTCAATTTAAAAAAAGAATGAGATAAACACAAATGCAAAAACTGAACAAATCTGACAAACATAACACAAATGTTGACATAAACAAACAAATTATAAAGGGCATACCTGAACAAAGATAGGGATGACATTGAGCCCTCTGATGATAGCACGGTTGTGTGACTCGCGTGCTAGGATGTGTAAGGCACCAACTGTTCCCTCCACAATCTCCTCCATACGTACTCCATCGGCATAGGCTCCAATGCTACCAGAACCCCCACTGGCCACAGATGACCGTTGCTACCAAAAATTAATACACAGAAATTATTAATTTAATATAACACTGACAAATATTTATGCTAACATTAATGTACATTATAATGAATGGCATCCAAGCCAGAAAACTACAACAACCTAAACATGTCACTAGTCCCTTGGCTAAAATACTGCTGATACAGCTCTGTTTACAGAGGTTGTAAATGATAGTTTTAATGGTGTCTATCAGAGTTCTTTAGACATAACAATGTTTGAGTTGAAATTTGTTCCACGAGCCTGGGTACTGGAATCGGTATGTTACTTAGCATTATATTTTTCTCATAACATGATCCTAGTTTTTTTCCTTCCTTTATACACATCCTTATTTCATACTGCTAGATGCATGGGTGACAAAACAGTGCCCAAATGTTTCACCCTAAGCAGGTCCTCTTGTTTGTAAGGTAAATGCAATCCTCAGTACAAGTTTATTTCTACTGACACAATAAGACTTGATATTAAAATGAATTGTCAGTAACACAGTTATTATACAGAACACACAAAATGCACAAGCTTTATCGGAAACTAAATTTTAGAACAATTAAATATAAAAAGTTGAAAATATTAACAGGAAAAGTTAACTTTACCCTCTGAGTGTCCTGGAAAGCCCTGATGAGGAGTTGCACCAGCCGAGGAATAGCACCAGACTCCCTGAGTGGTGCATGGTTAGCAGGGCAGAGCGCCAGGTTGCGTATCAGACCAATAACAGCCTTCACCAATGGCCAGCGGGATGGTGGATGGAGGAGGTTCACAATAATAGGAATGCCATTCTTCAGTCGTGCTGCATTCTGGGCAACTTCAGCCTCTGGATGACGAGCAGTTAAATGACGTAGTGCACACACCTGTACGAAAAAATCCATAACCAATCATCTCACTTGGCTATTAAAGCCTCTAACTCTTCTTTTAGAAGTGTAATGTTATTTTGCTGACCTCATTATATACAATATGCCAATTCTCCATTTGAGTGATTTGGACTAGGTTTGTATCCTAGCTGGGGAGGAATGACTAGTGGCCAGTTCTTAACTACATGCTTCTGTTCACTCGAGCAGTGATTGGATACCTGGTTGTTAAATGATTGGCTGGTCACATTCCAGGAAAAACTAGTGGGTACAGCTTACCATGAGCTATAGGAAGAAAATGCTCTCAGCCTGCTAACACCAGTCCACACTATTGTATCTGCCATTACAGAGACTTGTTCATTATGACTTAATTACCTAAATGCAGAAGCTGGAAAAAATCTCGACAAAACTCACCGCAGGCTCCGTAATCTCCTCTCGCTCTCCAGCATTGTAGATGGTGGCCACGAGTGCCTCGACACCACCAACCTGGCAAACTGTTATTTTGTTTCTCTGGTTGTTACAAGTCAAATTAGAGAGGATGCCAGCAGCGCAGGTCACTACATTGATATCACTGGCACGCAGCAAGTGCACCAAGTTCTGAAGAAGCTGGTCCATGTTGTCCTGTAAGCCCATTATAAATATTAGCAAGTAAATTATTAAATAAAAATTAAAATTGTAAAAGAAACCTAATGGAAAGAAAAACTTGTATTTGTATCTGCAAAATTCTGTCTCCTAGTATCACTCATGCTCCAGTTGTATCTACGGTATATGTATACCAGGATAAACAAATTTCTTTACATACAAAAAAATTAAAACATTCAAAAATACAGAAGTTCATGAGTCAATTAAAACATACAACTTTAGTTGCTGCATCAGAAAGGTTACGCAGCGTCCAAAGGCAGTTCTGCACTAGACGAGTCGACTGATGCGTTAGGTGCATAGCTAGAGCCTGCATTCCCCCAGATTCTACAATAGCTGGTTTGTTGCTTGAGCACACAGACAGAACTGTTGAAAAAAGGAGATTACTAAAAATAGCTTATGACCAATTTCTTGTTAAAACTTTGTTACACTAAACTTGAAGGTTTCTCAAGTTTTGACACTCTTATTTTAATATTATCCTGACCTACCTATCAATAAAACTTGATATATGAATGAATCATTTACTGTGTACATATGTACTCACTTCTGATTTTTTTCCTCAAGACGAGATAAATTTTCATTTGTACACAAAAGTTTTACGACTTCCTATGTCATAAAACTTGTCATGACTTCTCAGCATATTTTGATGACAAATCACTTGGAAAATATAAGTTTTAATAAAAACCAATATATTGTAAATTTTGTTAATTCTATCTGTACAGTATTGCATTCCCATACAATGACTGCAATTTGCATAATCAGAATTCTACCAATATTTTGTACTGCAACTGATCTTGCAGTTGAAACCCTATGGTTCATCTAATCATCCTTAAATGTGGCATCTTTTCAAGTGGACTTCCACTGTAGCTATGGTAATAGAAATTATTTAGTTTATCCTCTTGAAATGAAAGTCATACCTTTGAGAACTCGTGAGGTAGTCCATAGAAGCTTTTCATATGTGTAGGAACGTAGGATGCGCACCAACTCCTGTGGTCCCTGAGAAGCTAAGATGATGAGCTTTGACTCTTGATTGCCATAAGCCAGAATCTGCAGACAGTCGGTAACAATGGCCAGAAACTTGACATTGTTACGCTGGAGAAGAGCAACCATTTTCTGAAGCCCACCTGCCATACGCACAGCAGTTTTTGAGCCTTCTTGGTGCAGCAATAAGTTGTGAAGAGTTGTGATGGCATAAAACAGGACAGACTCCACTGGCGAGCTGCAGATAACAAACAAGTACTGAGCCAAGGTGAACAATAAACTTCTCTAGATCAAGACCCATACCCACCCTTGATTACTCCTCTAAATGTCCAATATTCTCATGACCTAAAAGCATTTGCAGTATAAAACAGGTGAATGATACATCAATACTTATTATGTACAACATTGAGAAATGGGGTACTATGTAATCTATTTATGGATTCTTTGGGGCACCATAATCTTTATACAGTACCGTATACAGGTTATTTGACTATCAATAATTATTTTCTTATGGTTTTCCTAATAAGTGTGCACAGTTGTGAAGAGCAAAACACAAATTTTGCTAATTTTCATCCAAATTGCTTTGTATTAGATACAGTACATTTATGTGTTTTCAACATGTTATTGGAGTATATGATATTTAAGAACCTCCTTTAATTGTTGTGGTTTTGTTCTATACAATGGTGCAGGATATATTTTATGCACTGGTACCCGGATGCTGACAAATGGCCGGATGTTGATGACTGGTTGAATACAGCATCCTTACCTTACACTATGACTGGTTGAATACAGCATCCTTACCTTACACTATAACTATTTCCCCTTTATTGAATAAGTTTATAAAACTAAAACACAAACAAAGCATACAAACATATGTTACAGAACAGGTTAGATGATCATGTTTATAAAAGCTACCTGCATACAAGATAAATACTGTATATTAAACAAAAATTCCTTACCTGAGTAGTTTAACTAGAGCAGGGATGCCACCAGATTTGAAAATGGCAAGGAGACCTTGACGATGGTGGGACAAGTTGTGCAAAGCTCCAACAGTCACTCGTGTTGTTTCCAAGTCATTTGAGTTGGAGAGGGCACGAACAAGAGCTGCTACCATTTGTTGTGAGTTCATAATAGCATGACGGGATGCCTCCTTCTTACTGAGACGATGCACCATCATGGCTGCCTGTGACACCACGACTTGGTCCTCATCGTTCAGTAATTTGATCAACTCGGGAATAGCACGTGTGGCCAAATCGGCATCATCCTGAGAAGAATTGGATACAATAATGCTTAAAACATTCATAAAAAAATTAAGCAGTCTATCATTGAGCTAAATACACATTATTATGTCTAGTAAAAGAAAAATCAGTACTGTTCTCTTAAAAATATTTACTGCTATGACTCCTCAATTTTATCGTTATATAGTATTTTAGCCATTTTGTCATCTTAGAACCAAATAATTCATTATTAGGTATCCTATTTTGAAAACACCAAGTCATGTTTTATTTTGCATGTTGAAAGAAAATGTTAAGTATATTTAGTAATTGCTTAATTTAATTAAGTTAATAATATAATGACTAAACCAAACCTGAACAAACCTAACCAAACCAAACTGGCATAACTAAATCAAACATAACCAAACAGCCAAACCAAATGCAACATAAAAAACAAAACAAACCCTAACGTAACTTTATCCAAAATAGCCATAATCAAACCAAATCAAATCTAAATTGACGTGATCTGACCTAGCCTAAATTTATCTAACTTAATATGAAAAGCATCTAGAATGTCAGCAAAGTTTTACAGACAACTAGAGGGTTCACAGAAAATGAAGCTTCGAACCACAATCAACTCTGCAAACGAATCACTCTGACGAGAAGAGAAACACTCAAAACTAATCTGATGAGTAAAATATAAAATTGACTATAATATTTATTAATTTTAATTACATCATAAAATAAAATCAGATAAATATTTATTAATAGTATGAAATGTGACAATCTAAATAAAATTAGTAGTACCGATAGTTGTCACCAGGCAGCCTGGCCTCACCAACTGAATGTAAGAAATAGTGGCTCCATCAAGGCATAACATTAAGAAACTACAGTATGAGATGCCAACCGAGACACAACCACAACAAAAAAGACAGTCTCATCCTGACTGTAACCAAAGAAGCACAACGAAGAGACAAACAAACAAAACGAGAGCCAGGCAACTTCATACAGAACTGCCACTGAGAAAAGATGCAGATGGGACCTATATTTTGAACCTGCATTTAGAAAATATATAAGATTTCTAAAGCATTCGATTTGTGTAATTTTTTAATTTAATAGAATAATTACTATTTTTTAATGTATGAGTCAAGACACAAAGATAAAAAGAAATCAGGAAAGCAATCTGACTTGCAAAATAAATAATTCAATGCAGCTCAAATTTGAATACAGATACAGTACATCACATGAAACTACAAACTAACCTGGTAGTTAATTAAGTTCACCACTGCATGCTTGAGCATTTGTGAGGGTTCTGCCAGCCTCTGTACTGCAGTGGGTTGCTGCGGGTCAAACTGGGTAGAGGGAATCTCCATCCCCTCGTCAAGAGTCTCGGGAAACATGGCAGCTCGGACACGTTGTGACCTAGTCTGGTTCAGTTGTTGGTTCATGTCATCGACCTAGTAACATGATAATAGTTAGTTATATATAAATGCATAATATAACCAAAAATAAATAAAATGTTATATGCAACAAGGTCATATAAAAGGAGCCCACTTAACTTTATATGTTGATAAATATATAAAGTTGAACATGAGTTTATTAAAGCAAAATGATTCACTGTACAGGATAAAAAGAAAGGTACAAAACAAAATTTAATGAGCTATCTCTATTTCTACCTACTGCACATGAAAGAAATATCAAATAAGTGTTACAGCATAAAATATGACCCATGATCGGACACTGATACTGTTACTTCCTTGAATGTCTTTCTCCCTTCCATGGAAGACACACTATTATATCTTGATATATTTCTTAAGCAATTGCATAAATCCAAAATATGAATCTGTCCAGAGATTTGTAGCATATTATCCTCTCGGTTCTTCACAGTTAGATTAGACATGACCAGAACCCGAGTTCTGTGGAACTAGGTAACTAGGGGTTCTGCAAGATAAAGCGATAAATAGAATAATTCTAATCATATGTAAATGTATGTTCGAATCGTTTTTGTGCTTAATACTTGTAGAGTGATGGCCTAGGTTCTTGCAGATCGGCATTCAATCCCTGACCGTCCAAGTGGTTGGGCATCACTCCTTCCCTCTGTTCTATCCAAAAATCATTACCCTCATAGTCCTTCCAAGTGCTATATAGTCATAATGACTTAGCACTTTCTCCTAATACCTCAACACTTTCCTTAGCACTTTCCTCCTTACCTCAACAGCTTGGGCCTGATGATGACCTATAATGGTTATTGAGCATCATAATAGAACATCTTTATCAAACTACATTATTTTATACAATAATTGAAGAAAAATACAAACTTAACCTCTCTGTAAGCAGCCTTTAGTTTTGACACAAGCTAAAAAAAAATAAAACTAATCACTACTTACAAATGTTATGTATAGTGGCATAATTTTCACCAAAATTTGTAAAGTAATTCATGTACTAGTACAATAATAGGTTCAAGTACAAAACTGCAAATTACCTTTATTTTTGTTTGGCAATGTACAAAAATTGACTAATTTCATAATAGCAATGCATCTTAAAATTTTTATTCATGTTTTTGACACTTGAAAATACGTAAAATATTTACCTTTAAATATCAATTTGGAACAATGGCATGATGTCTTTACTGTACTGTACTTTGGCTTCACTACATTAAATCGTGTATTTATATAATACTCATATATATTGTGAGTAATGTAAGTACTAAATACTGCACACAGATGCCCATATATTGTACAATAATAAATCCTAGTTTCTTGCAATGGTAAGTAATTATTGTGCAGGTCCAGTGGCTGACATGGTTTTTACACACTTCAGGGACAACTGTGAATGAACAGGTGGAGTTGTGTCAAAAAACTGTTTTCTTTGGCAAATAAAGATAGGTCAAAATATTATGAACAGAACCAAGAAATAGGTACTGGACTTGCTTAAAGTAGTGGTATTCTTCTACGCAAGAAGTCGACTTAATTGTTATGCATGGAGGTGTTGATTTAAACTGTCTACGTAACATTCACTCTCCATTAACCTTCCAAAATACTTATGATTTAGTAAAACTCAAGGCACTGGCACTTGTAGTATTTAGTCTCTCTTTAATGAACTATTCATTTTGGAATTTTTTGTGTTGAGAGTCTAATAACAGATATATATTTATGTCAGAGAAATACAGTAAATATACATGTGCCTCCCTGCATTTTGACTATTGTTAGGCCAGATAGCCATCAACCCCACTTCCCCCATTTATTACATATACAACCTCATGCCCAGCCAGCAAAGAGAAAATCCTGTATACCTACAAATTGCAAGTCTGTGAATATCATGCCGTCCGCTGTTCTCTAGAACGTAACTGGTGCATGCTACATACTTAAAATGACCTATCCTTTAACATGTTGACTGTTACCTGCTCTGTTGTAAAGGCTGCCTGGTTAAAGCCCTGCTGTGCTTGGCCCTCTATCCACTCGGCGTCCATTTCCTCCTCCTTCCCAGAAAGGGATGGAGCATTAGTGGTGGCGCCAGAGTGGATGCCCGAGTCACTCATGTACGTGCTCTGTTGCCACATGGCAATCTGTTCCTTGGGGTTCTGCATAGGCATATCTGCAGGGTTGTGGTAACCACCCTGTGACACTGTCAGAGACAAAGAAAAGAAAGTAATAAGTAGGTGTTCACATACGCAAGCGCTGCATTTAAATTAAGATCGTTATATTTGCTAAATGAAATAATATCCATCCAGTCCTAGTCCTTTCTGGGAAAAAAAGATTTACATTATTTTAAATAAATAAGAGTAAATATAATGCCCTACGAAAACTACATGTTCTACTAGTATTTTTCGATCACAGCCAAATTATGAAAGTATTCCCAGAACGCACGATATGTACATATTGCACAATACAGAGTATATTATAAACATCTGTAAAAATAATAACATGTCCTCCTATGAACATACAGAACATATTAAAGAAAGATCACGGAATGAAAGGGAGAGATTAAGATAAGTTGGATGAAAGATGATGAGTGGTGGGTGGTGGTTGCAGGATGGAGGCTTGGTGGGTGGCAGTGAGAGTGTATGGAAAATTTAAGGGTTGGAAGGCAAGGATGCCAGATGGAGGTGGTGATTGTGGTTGAAACTGGGTGTAATTTGTGAAGTTAATGAGTGTATGACAAGAGTTGGACAGTCTCACTGGTGATAAAACACACTGGGTTCACACTTCTGTCCATTACAAACTTGTCTCAGAATAAAACAACCAAATCGTTGCTATTTAGCTACAACCCCCCCCCCCCATAACAAGATTATGTTAAGTTTTATTGCCATACACAAATGATTTACATTTCATCCTGTAGTGCAGTGGTCAGCACAGGTAGATATGAGGTAGGAGCATAGGTGAGAAAGAGAAGCTTCACATCCCTGGTGGGAAAATATGGTTCAAATGCCTCCACTGTTTAAATGGATGGGATCACCCCCAGAGATGGCCAAGCAAAAAATCCAGCATCGAGTGTAATGAAACGCCTCTTAATGGTAGAGCCCCAGTCCTGGGATTGCTCTATACCAGTCACATCAGTAGCAGAAGTTTTGTGTGGTCTAGAAAAGCCAGAACTTGGCCCCACTCACTGAAGTGCAAATAGTGAAAGGCCCGGCAAGTGCCGCTAACGAAACCATCCTTCAGTGACAAAGCAGAGCAGAGAAGTGATCCGCATTAGGATATGTAACGTCCCAAAAATCAGACCCACCCAAGGACCTACCTCAACCAACAGCATGTGAGGTCCCCACCCTATCAGACCTCCGAAAGTTAATAGCCCCCTCCCCTTCCTAAGGAAACAACAAATGACCAATTGGGTGGCAAGAGAATGCCACCATGGAAAAAACCTGTGCATGACACACTCAGGAAAGAGGAGAGATGAAAAGAGAGAAGCAGACAAAAGGGTAAGAGACTAAGCCTAATCTAAAAAATGGATGAACATGGCCTGTCAACACACGAGACTGGCCGAATAAAATGCCATCAAATGTCTCCTGAAGGAAAGGGGTAAGCATTTTCAGCAAGGCCACCAGGGCTGGAATCTCAGGCCTCACATCCTCCACACCCAGAGCAGAACCCAACAATGCCATGTCCTCAGAGTTGCTCACAGTGCCTCTCCACCTGGACCCAAACACCCAAGATCATTAAGTGTGAACACGCCCTGTAGTCCTCTGCCCTAAGGGCCCTGGAAAGTGCAGGCAGTTGCACATGGAGCTACCACTTGCCCACATCCTTGGGAAGTGCTGAAGCAAATATGCAGTTCCTGAGCAGAGCAAAAGAAATGCAGTCCAAGACCACCTGAAAGATAGAGCTCACCTCATGCCAATCAAGCATGTAGAACAGACAGAACCCCCTGCCAAGTTCAAGAAAAAGAGAGGGATTGTCATCCAGCCAGGATGAACCTAAGAACTTCTACAGCAGCCAATATGCCAAGACAGACCCTTACTCAAAAGAAGTTGGGTCCATCAGAGTAAAAGAAGTCAGAGTTCCTTAGGAGGTAATGAAGAAAATTTGCGCAAACCACTGAAGGCACAACAGGTGAAGATGGAAACCTCCAAAAAAATAGGACAACTCTGAAAAATCAAACGAGACCCAAAATTAAACCCGATGGGGAGCAGCCAAGCAGTCATATTCATACATAGAAGCAGAATAAGAGAAATTCTCCTGAAACAAAAACAAACCCTCTGCAGAGGGGATCAAAGTCCATGAAGGGTAGAAGGGGCCCCCATGGGCTCCTCTTGGGCTTTCCCTCAAGTGCTAGAACTCCACTATGAAGGCTCCAAGGCAGAGCCAAAGTCGTCGCCTAACACTTGCGACAAAAAGTGTCCTCCCAAGAAGAAGAGGATGGGACCACACCCCCATAGAAGGTCAAACTACACACAAAGCAAAACCCAGATCCAACTCTGAAATCCTCAAAGGCTTCGAAGATGGAAGGGGAAAGGGGGAACCAGAAGCTGGGCGAACCACCCACTTAGGACAGGAAGAGGTGATGCAGACTTAGTCCAGGTGGAAGTTACCAACACCTCTAATTCCTGTCCCTAAACACAATAGGACTGTTTAGGGCATCCAGACCATTAGTATACAATACCATGAATGCCTAACCCAAGCAAACCTACTTCGCAAAGCATCGGCTGCATGAAAAGCTTTCACACTCAAAGCTGAATCATTAAGGGTAGAGACCCAATGAGAACATACTTCATAGGACTCAGGGTCATAGGTATCAGTCCCAGTAGGTAGCATGGCAGAGGCAGAAAAATTATCATTGTCAGGTAGCAAAGATAAACACCCTTCAAGTTCCCACTCGGTGAGCATGGGCTCAATGGGCCAATCCATGAAAGACCATGCCAGAGATCCATGAACATGCCAGAGATTTGCTGAAAGCAGTAAACTAATCAGAAACATCAGGCACTGGGACCGCTTGCCAGAAGAAGTCACCAAACGTAGCCTAAACAACCAGGCTACGAATAGTGACAACAGCTTGCCATATAGACAAGCATGAGAATCCCAGTATGCCCCAGCACAACCAAAGGAATGCCCCCAGCCAAGGGTCCAAGCAGAGGAATTAAAGATTCATAAATAGGATAAGGCAAGGCTCTCCACCCCAGTGGCCTGGCCTCTCAGGGGGAAAACTTCCAAGCACACAAAAAAGATAACTCTATGCAGGTCAGCTCAGCAGGAACATATCATAATAGTTCTTGCTATATTTCTTAATATATAGTATATAATTTATAATTGTAATGATCAGTGTTAGGCTTCTAATATTACCTTTTCTTGTATAAATGAATAATGAGCTTTAAATAATGTAAATTAAATCAATGATATATGCACAATCATTTTATGAATTAAATCGTTCAATTTCAATATTGTATATATAAACACTTGCACACTTATGAACAGATATTTTATTCTTTCAACTATACTATTACCAACTTGTATATTGTTGGTCTCCTACTGACTACCTACCTACCCGTTGTCGATTTTGAGGATCAACGTCTCCGTGGCCCAGTTTCCGACCAGGCCTCCTGGTTGCTGGTCTGATTAACCAGGCTGTTCAATGCGGCTCCTCGCAGCCTGAAATACGAGTCACAGCCTGGTTGCTCAGGTATCCTTTGATACTTGGTGCTTGTCAAGTTCTGTTTGGAACACTGCAAGGGGTTAGCCAGGTATGCCTGGAATGTGTAGGGGAAGAGTGTTGGAAAGTCTTGGGCCTTTGATGTTGATCAACTTCTCTCTCAGCGTGCCTATTGCACCTCTGCTTTTTGGTGGGCCTGTTTTGCACATCTTGCCATGCAATCAGGTCTCATGTGGTGTTATTTGTGTGTCCAGATTTGGAACCAGTCCTAATATTTTCAAAGTGTATATTATTATGCATCTTTCTGCCCTGCACTCTAGGGAATACAGATTTAAAATTTTTAGGCAGTCCCAATAATTTAGATATTTTACCGAGTGAATTCAAGCCGTAAAAGAGCTTTGCTCTCCAGGTCAGCAATTTCTCCACCTCTGAATGGGGTTGCTAGTGTGCAGCAGTATTTCACTCTAGGGAGCAAGCACTAATGTCTTACAAAAAATATCATTGGCATGGCATCTCTTGTTTGGAAGGTTCTTGTTATCAAACCTGTTATTTTTCTTGCAGTTGTGACAGCAACTTTGTTGTGTTCTTAAAAGTATGGTCTTTCGACAATTATTCTGGGCAGTACTACCTCATTTCTTTCACAAAATGAGCTTCCAAAAGACAGAAGCTTCAACGTCAAGAACCAAAGTTGATTTTGTTGTGTTTTTCCATGAAAGTGGCACATCGTCGTCTTAGCACTCAATGAAGTACCAATAATGTGTGATACGGTATTATCACATAAGTTACCACAAGTTGAGCCTGGCCTCAGGCTGGGCTCAGGGAGTAGAAGAACTCATAGAACCCTCTCCACATATGCTCTAGGTATTAGTCAAACTGATCTACGATTTTAGCTGCTACATTACTAATATCTCTGTGAAGTGAGGCTCTATCTGTTTTTGTCATCACTTCCAAATTATTAGCCTTGGTATTCAAATCAGAATAATTAGTATAAAAATATCGAATATCATTTACACTTATTTAGGCTATTTATGTATGAGGTACATTTATCTTATTACAGAGTTTGGTGATCAAGTGGTACATTCTCGCTAAGCCGTTAACACGCACAGCGCAACTCTCCAATAAGATTACATGATTAGATTAGAAGTATTCATGCTAAGTTGACTCACAGCATTTATCTAGAATAGCATTGTTATGATTAGTGTTGTGCTATCATGCTACTCATCACATACCCAATCACACAAACTACATTAAAAATATAATAACTCAGAAGAAAATTAAGATACTATTCTACACAAATTTACCGATAGAAAAAAAGTAAAATACACTTTCCAAAAATTCAAAGGACAAAAATACAAATGCTTAAATTAAAGTGCACACAAAATTAATATAAGTCCAATAAAAGAAGCATGTCAAGTTAGACGATCGCTGCCATTCATTCTACACATTAATTAAAGAGCATATTTAGTCACACAAAAATGTTTGTAAAACTAGATATTACAGCTTACATTTGCAAAGCAGGAAAGAACCAGAGACCCAGCTGCAAGTGTAAATACAATAAGTAACTAATCCAAGGACTTCTAGATACAGTCTAAAAGATATCAGAAACCATCATATATATGTAATGGGCAAGCACACAATTTGAGCATCAAGTTCCACTGGATAAGAATATCATATTAATCAAGTGAATCCAATACTGTACCTCAAATACAATTTAAGACAATGTTTCCAGTATGCCCTAATATGTTTTATAGAACTCTGATGTATTATATGATTACTGTATTCATAAATAGAACAACAGTTTAGAATATACAGTGATAAAAGTTAAGGTTCAAGCCCACAATACGGTAAGGGACTTATGCTAAGGTCAGGGATCAAGGCATGAGCTTAAGGGGTCAAAGTCTGACCAAGAATTACACTAGTCTACCATCTTAACCTCAAGTCAAACAAACAAATGAGAAGAAATAACACACATTTGATAATCATTATAAATATATGTACCTTACAGTATCTCTCTCTTCCTTTACTCTCTATATTTTCATAATTATAATTGCAATAATATTAAAAATTTACACATTTTAATTTTACACAAATATAAAAAGGAAAACATTGATAAAAGAATAGGAAAGGGCAGGGAGGGGGAGGGGGGGGAGTTGAAAGGGGGCCAAGATTTAATCACAAAACAGAGCAGTACATTGCCTGTTACCAAAATACACACAAATATCATCAACTATCAAAGATGAACACACACACAGGCTGCAATTCAGGCATGTTGTGTATAAAAGCCAATTCAACGAGAAGCATCAGTGAAGCACAGAACTTCATAATGGTCCAGGTTGGACCAAAATGTTGTCAATTCTTTTATTTTCAGATTGGTGGGTTGGGCGTTTGCCATTTTCAACTCATTATGTGACTGACTGACTGCTTCAATATACAGTACATTGTGCAGAATGTAAATACTTTCTGCACAAAAAGTAAAAAATGGGAATTATACATACAGTACTGTACTGTATTATCAAACAATAATAACTCAAAATATATACTGTACATGCAACTGCTAAAATACGTGATACTGTATGTAAACTTTTGTCATTTGAACATCTATGAACTATTACTAAGAAATGCACAGGCCTAGTGTTTGTCAGATGTCATAAATAAATGATTGATGTACAGTACAGTATTTACACTCGCATGCCAAACTCTCCTTCTTGCCAGGAGTGAATGGCAGTGCGCTGAATGTGAATATTTATAATCATTTTGTTTGTGCAGTTATTGTCGTTTATGTTATTTATAATTAGGGCACCGAAATGTCCATAAATTATTGCTATACGTAACAAGCGACCAAGGAAGAATCCACTTGCCATGTGCAGATTTTTTATAATTATTTTGTCAATAAATTACACAGTATGATTGTTCTATTGTATGTCAAAGAGAGAAAACAAAGATTGCTTAATACTAGCCCTGTAAATGTGTGTGTTTTTTTTTAGTGGGGCCTTTCCTACCAAGTGATTCAACTAGAAGCCATTTGCAGTGAACAGATCTCATACAAATTTTAAATTCATGTGGTAACAAATTATCATGAACAGTATTTATAGTTTTGGAATTGAAATGATTGCTTGAATACTACGAGTATTCTCTAATACAGTACAGGTCATTTCAAAGCCTTACCCTGCATGCTCTTTCACAGAGCACAATCTACCAATCATTTTACATTCACCCTCTTAATGCTAAATGAACAGGGGATGAACATTGAATGAATACTGCCCAATCGTCCCATTTTGCCCAAAATTTGAATCCAGGCCTTCTCATTTAGAAAGTGAGCATGCTGATAACAGCACCACAGGGCTTTTTCAAATTTGAAGCCCATACAAAAAAGTGTTTTGCAGATATGTTATAGACACAGCAAAAACAAGAATGAAAAAAATCCAGTGGTAAATAAGGTATCCCTACATGGAATACCTAATTAGCAAACACAGTAGTGCAGGCAAGAAAAAACAAACAAGACACTTTGAACAAGCAATGCATTAACTGTAATCCACAACCTACATAAACAATTGAAAATAAATGACAGCAAAAATGTATTAAAAACTAAACTGACAAGACAAAGTTAATTACACATTTCATTAGACTACTTTTAAAGGTACTGTAAATAAACTGAACGCTGGTAACTTACACGGCCGCGCTTGCTGGGGCATCTGATAACTCATGGTGCCGGCTCAGCCCACCTCTGAAACAGGAAAAATTGGTAACATAATCCTTGAATAAGAATGAGCATCAGTATTCTTAAATAATGTCCAATGCCTCAACACTGTAGTCTCTCCTAGGTATTCAGATTTGATCATGGGAAATCATTTGCAATAGTTAAGATACGCAATGGGAAAGAAGGAAAAGGAGGGTATTTTTTGGCGTGCATATCGATAATACTTTATGCAACCCTTGTGCAGTGCAAGGGTGAAAAGCAATGTCATCTCTTCATTTATATAATCCTCTACTTATATTATTTTAACTTTCGTCTGAACCATCTTCTCAAAAGACCAGCAATGAATGTAATGAAACGCCAATTTCTAGGCGAGCCCTGGTGGCTCCCTGAAACTATTACAGTATATGGGTATACTGTAGTGCCAAACTACAAAGTGCCATTAGTCAAGGAGTTCTTATTTTGCCTATCAGGAACCATAAGTCAGAACCTGGCCCCCCTCAGAGAGGCAAAGAGAGCAGTGGCATGTATGAAAAATTTGAACTAAACTACCTCCACCTCAACAGGAAAAAACTACCTCCACTGCTCTGCAAACTACCTCCACTGCTCTGCAAAACTCCCTCCACTGCTCTGCAAAACTCCCTCCACTGCTCTGCAAAATTCCATCCACTGCTCCACAAAACTACCTTCACTGCTCCACAAAACTACCTTCACTGCTCCACAAAACTACCTTCACTGCTCCACAAAACTACCTCCACTGCTCCACAAAACTACCTCCACTGCTCTACAAAACATGAATACATGACAAAACTACCACTACTAGTTAACAACAATCTTGCAATTTCACTGCAAAACTCACTATTTATGAGATCACTGACACTAACAGAAGTGATTCGGCATCTTGCTTTAACAGCCAGCAGTTAGTCAATTTCCCATATCTAATAGTGAGAAGACTTCCCTTCATATCTAATCAATGGTGATGGGGGCTTCTCCTGATATCCAATCAGCAGTAATAAGACTCCCACTGATACCCAACTAACAACAAGGAGACTTCCACTGATATCTAAACAGCAGAAGGATGACATACCTTAATTATTTACTCAGAATTTAGTTGGATTCCAGTTCCACATCAGTATTGCCCACACAATTAACACCTGTATTTCACACATACTATAACTGCTCACATCTAGGATTTGTAATGTCTGCCGGCGATAACAGAAGGATACAGTATAAAGAGGAAACTGTATGTAACTATCGCTGACAAGAGAACTGTTCCTTTATCTTGACCCACCAAGCAGTCATGTGCAAGCAGCATAAATCTGTATATATTCATCTGTGCACACAAATTAAGGCCAAAATACATTTTATGAATAGATTAATGGGAAAATTTGCCCCATTTACGTTCATTCTGGTTGCACACACTCACACACTATCATCTGAGGACCACATAAAGAACGTTGTGCGAGGAGCCTATGCTACGCTTTCTAACTTCAGAATTGCTTTTAAATATATGGATGGAGAAATACTAAGGAAATTGTTCACGACTTTTGTTAGGCCAAAGCTAGAAAATGCAGCGGTTGTGTGGTGCCCATATCTTAAGAAGCACATCAACAAACTGGAAAAGGTTCAAAGACATGCTACTAAGTGGCTCCTAGAACAGGAAGGGCAAGAGCTACGAGGAGAGGATAAAAGCATTAAATATGCCATAACTAAAAGACAGAAGAAAAAGAGGTGATATGATCACTACGTACAAAATAGTAACAGGAATTGATCAAATTGATAGGGAAGATTTCCTGAGACCTGGAACTTCAAGAACAAGAGGTCATAGATTCAAACTAAACAAAGATGCCGAAATATAAGAAAATTCACTTTCGCAAATAGTGTGGTAGACGGTTGGAACATGTTAGATGAGAAGGTGGTGGAGGCCAAAACCGTCAGTAGTTTCAAAGCGTTATATGACAAAGTGCTGGGTAGACGGGACACCACGAGCGTAGCTCTCATCTTGTAACTACACTTGGGTAATTACACTTAGGTAATTAAACACACGTACACACACACACATATGGATGAATGTGGATGAGGCAACACGCCTAAGTTCACTGGAGAAGGATAAAAATAAACGATCATCTCATTTAAAAGGATTACACTTCCAAATGAACACACTTTTTAGGTGCACTTCATCAAGGAAAGCTAACAGCATTTTGCCAGGAAATATGAAATTGCTGTAGGTTTGAATTTTCTCTGCAGTAATAATGTAATGCAGAGATTCTTGGCAACATATTTCACTCTTCACTTCACAGGAAAAAGATGTTGGAATTTACCTAAAAAAATAGAATATACTAAGCAAAGCATCTGGGCACCAAAGTGGGCCCTCATCTCACTGACACATGTTAACATCCTTTCAAACTCTGCCTCAAGAGGGGTCTTCTTTTCACAATTATGTAACCAAAGCATAAGCAACATACATTTTATTAACAGCAAGTCTTTAATAAAACTGGGAAGCAAAGTTTATGTGTGATTCGGACACACATTTCTTTAGACATCAAGTGCCCGAATAGACTACAGAGGAGAGTGTAATTAAAATCTGATTAGAACATTTACACGCTTGAAATGCGAACTATAAACAGCAGATGTGTTGATCTCCATTTGATGTCTGTAATCATTTAACTACATCAACAAGAAGCATGTTCAATACATAAGCAGTGAAAGGGAACAGTTAGGTGGAACTAGTTTATGCATTAAGATATGAATGCTTGAGATTAGTGAGAATTCATAGGTGGCACTTTCCATCAGTCCAAATGGTATTAATGTGGATGATTTGCAGAAGTGTAGTAGAGATGATTTTCTGAGATGGCATTTAGTGTGACTTAGAAGGTGAACAGATGGGTAAACTATTGGTATAAGTAGTATTAAGTACTGCTGTTGTAGCCAAGGCTTTGATTTGAGTAATTGGGTTTTTAATTGGTTTCTTGAAAATTGGGTAAAAACCAATCAGTCAGGTTCAGGTTCTAAACCTGCACAGAAGAATAACATATTGGAGCAAAAGATACACAAGGAAATGCAGAACAGAACCAATGAGGAGTAAGAGGCACCATAAGCACAGAGTTTTGTATGAACATCAGACATCAATGGATATTCAATACTCTCCCTGCAACCATTAGAAAATTTGCATTAACAAAGGTGGATGAAGGGGTGAAGGGGAGGGGAGGGTGGTGAAGGATGGGGGATGGTGGGAGGAGAGAGGGAGGGGGGTGAAGAAAAGAGGGGAGAAATGAACAAATCCACAAACCTGTGGATTTGTTCATTTCATACATCACGCTATTGTGATTTCTGTGTGTACATTCCAGCATCATTGTATGGAACATATCTTTCAATTCATACCATAACACTGCAAAACAACAAATATCTTTTTTATTGAATCCATTAAGAACATCAATAACCTTAAGTCTCAGAAGAACAGCAACTTTAATTATCCATAGATTGTTCTACATGTTCACTACCATTCTTACATTGTTCCACATGCTCACTACCCATCTTACATTGTTCCACATGCTCATATCCTTTATTCCACTGTTCCATGTGCTCATTACCCTTCTTAAATTATTCTACAATCAGAGAACACAGTATGAGCACCAAGGAATATGTGCCTCGACAAAGCTTGTTTTCTAATTGCCAAAACCATATATACTGTAATCTATACTCTTAGGTAAGCTTGGGGTAAGGATATGTAGGCTGTTCCAATCTGTCTTGGGTACAATCTTATCTGTATCCAAGAACATCAAGAACTCCACAGCTTGTCACTCTCCTCCTCCTCCCACCAAATAAATTGAAATCTTGACAGGACACAGGGGAACATTCTCAAGAGGCAATTGGTCAATTGACACATTATTACAAGATCACAGACCAAGTTTCTACTAAGACCAGCCTGGTCTAGGCCGAGCACTGGGGAGTAGAACTCTTAAACCCAATCACTGTACAGGTAAATTCAGATGAATCCCTCCCAATTAGTCTATTCACTTATTAGATGATTAATAAAAAGCAGTCACTCTGGTTTTTGAGCTAACACTGTATCTCAAAATATTATTGGATGCGAGTTTAAGAGTTGGATCTGGTTAAGATAGGTTTATTTCAAGATTAGTGGTGACTTAGCACAACATCTTACGGGTACCCTTTTTGGGATATGTAAAAACCCCGGTCTTAGTAAAAACCAGTCAGTCAGTCCACTTCTCTGCTACTCAACAAAAACCCTGCCAGTTAGTTGGTTCACCCCACAGTTAGAGAAAAAAAACCAGTGGCCAGTTCACTCCACAGTTACTGAGTAAACCCCCCCCACCAGTCAGTTTATTCGTCACATACACAGAATAAACAAAGTATTGAGACTCCTGGCTGGCCACCACTCTCTCACACTCGCTCCGCTCTCCTTGTTTCACGCCCGTCACTTCAACCACCACTTGCCCACGCAAATACCTCCACTTGGAACACCAGGGCAAGCGTTCAGCGTTATCGTGGAGGTGATAGCGATAACAGAGATACCGCGATAACAGCCTATACAGACCTCTCACTCCCCCCCCCTTTCTCCCATGACACCTATCCACCATTTCCACCCCCAAGACACACCGAGAACACTTGGATTTGAACGCCTGTTTTCCCTTTAATATTTTTTGGGGGCCTGACCAGGAGCCCTATGCATCAGGATACCGGTCTCCGCCGCCTACGAGGGACACGCACACAGCAGGAAATGCCGAAGAGATGACGGAGTCACGGGGGAAATGGGGCGAGTGTACACAGGAGTTATCCAGCAGAAGCAACACACACATACACACACACACACATACAAACACACACACCCCTCTCTAACCCATAACAACAAACTCCTTCACTTCATTTGTATGATACATATTCGCTCCCTCGCCCTGTTTCATAAGCCAAATTGCAACTCACCCTTTTCCGCAGGTTACTAGGTCTCGAATTCACGAAATATCCTGATCGTATAGTTTATATAATCGAAATAAGTAAGAATGTGGTGATTGAGCGCCACTTCCACACCTCCTCACACTCCTGCATCGATCGAGCCACTGAGCCGACGGTCAGGTGCACCCTCCGCCCCACGAACTAGTACTGTCCTAATACTCAAATATTTGTTATATTCATCTATCCCACTATCTCCAAACATTATCACAGGCTTGTATGGTATCATAGCTAGGTAATAAAGGCCAGTTATCCAACAGGAATCCTCCAAAGCAAAGATTTGCTATAATCTGCTTTCATTGATAACTTGTCAATGCTCTCCCAAGGAGAACATACGTCAGAATGAATCTGTAGCGCAAAGCATTCACAAATTTAGTGTCTAATGCACTACAAGAACAAACCCAATCCTCGAACAACCGTATGGGATTTTAAATAGTATTCTTGCGCGCCACTTGAGATTGCCATCTGTCTCGTGCTTGACTTGAAGATGAGCACTTGCGATCAGCACCTCACATCTCCTCGATCTATACCTCCATTCTACTCCTCCTCCTCACGACAGAGATTAACTTAATCCCAAGACGATGTTCAGGGAAGGAAAATCTATCGTGCTATATGGCTTATAATATCTAAATGGCAGCAGGCGCCCGTGCATGGTGGTAGAAGTGATTGTATGCACAATGTAACGTCCAGACGGCCCTATATACCGTACAGATATATTTTCTTAGAAAAATGTGAACGTAAACTATTCGATTTTCATTCGATTTGCGTAAATTATATAGCCATTATTTATCGAAAGTTTATCCTATCCCTTTTACAGCTATATTATCGTGTAATAATAAAAAAGAAAAAAGACTGAAAGTAAAAGAAAAAGAAAAAAAATTGAAGAATAAAATAGAGACAAAATTGATTAACTGTAATACAACATAATTCTGAGAGTGAAGATCTCAACGTATACGTTACATAAGATCAAAAATTGTCGTACTAGAAAATGGTAGCGGCCTGCAAAATTGTCATTACTATTCCGTTTTGTATCGAGTCAGGATAAGGGCACCTTAGTACGACAGTTTCTTGACGTTGGGAAACCTTGGGGTCTTACAGTATGAATTACCGGGTATATTATTTCCGTATAAGACTGCCGCCGGTGGGATGATTACGTATATGTTCAGATGTTGATTGTTTCAGTTCGGTTCAGTTCTTTTATTAATATCCGTTCCTTGTCACGGGATATAGCTCCATATCCGTTCTGTGAGCGGTGGTGGGGAATATTACAGAGACAAATTTGTAATGGGTTCATGTACTGCCTACCAACAATCATTTATCTATGTTAATTACAGCACTGATGAGCTAGATAAATAGTTTGTTTATATGTAAATAAATCAAGTCTCTTCACAGGTTTGTCAAACTAATATCACAGTAAGCTCAATTTTGTAGACAAAATGGTGATGCAGTGTTAGGTGGGAAATTATTTTGTCTCCATTTTATGAGAGAGGAGAGAAGAGAGAGAGAGAGATGTTGAAGATTTTCACTGGATGATTTCCACTATCGAACAACCCGTATTCTCATATATAATACATCACATACTGATGTCAAAATCCCTACCGGACAAATATAAACGTAGTACAATACTATAAATGACAGCGGCTTAGGACAACCCGTCCTCGACTCAAGTCCATTCCATCTAGCGGTCGATCCCACAGACGCATTCATAAATTTTAACATACTGTTCATTCAAAACAGGAATTCTCTCAATTATAAATTAATATTATAATATATTAGTATATTGTGCATATATAGGCATAGATTAGATTAGGTGTTTAGGTTCTGTTGGTGATTATTTGTATTTGTAGTACAACCCGTCCTCGACTCAAGTCTATTACATCCAGCGGTCAACCCCACAGACGCATTCATAAATTTTAACATGCTGTTCATTCAAAACGGGAATTTTCTCAAGTATAAATTAATATTATAATATATTAGCATATTGTATATATATAGACATAGGATAGGTTAGGTTAGGTGTTTAGGTTCTGTTGGCGATTATTTATATTTGTAGTACGTGGGTGAAGCATTTACAGCGTTGTGATTCGAACAAAATTCGTCAGTGAAGCACTTGTTCCGGATATGTTCGAACGTCAGCAGTTGTGAGTCGTGTGTAAACCGCTTTTCATTCATAAACAGGGGGTTCGGCGGGTGCATGGAATCACTTTTGGATCTTTGTTTGGAGGACGGGCTGCAGCCCGTCCTCCAAACAAAGATCCAAAAGTGATTCCATGCACCCGCCAAACCCCCTGTTTATGAATGAAAAGACCGACCGGGAGACCGGGTCGACCTGGCCAAAAAAGAGAGGCAACATACAGACAGAGGCAGACACAGAGAAAGATAGAGATAGGGATCTCTCTCTCTCTCTCTCTCTAGTGGCTTCGACAGGGATAGGAAGCCGACGGCTTGTCAAAGTAGGTGGATGGTTCAGGGAAACAAGATTAGACGAGTTATATTTAAATTTTCTTCGAGTAATAATAAGCGGTGTGTCCACTCACAGGACAACCCGTTCTCGCAAATTCGTAAAGTCAATATTGACTTATTAACTACGTGCATAGGTGATATACTAAACATAATAGATACCCCTTAAAAAGATTCATAGAAAACACCGACCTTACCTAACCTTGTTAGTATCTTAAGATAAGCATCTTATTGCTTCGTAATTACAATTATTACTTAACCTATACCTATTATAGGTTAAGTAATAATTGTAATTACGAAGCAATAAGATGCTTATCTTAAGATACTAACAAGGTTAGGTAAGGTCGGTGTTTTCTATGAATCTTTTTATGGGTATCTATTATGTTAAGTATGTCACCTATGCACATATTTAATAAGTCAATATTGACTTATTAAATTTGCGAGAACGGGTTGCACAGGATGAGTGGCTCTGCCCAGTAACCTCGCCCCTTGAGGCAAAACTTAATATATGTTTTAATTTACGTGGTTACGACGCATAAGCTTGTATACAGAGAAGGCAAGACGATAGAAGCTTGTGCTGATCTTTAATTGGTTTCTTGAGAGGACGTGGAGAAAATATTATTATATGGAAGAAAGATAATCTAGTATGTAAACTGTTTGAGCCAGTTTTAGTAACCTTTTTTTTTTAGTAACCATGGGCCTACAGTTTACAGTTACATTGTAATTGTAGATCTATCATTTGTATTTTATATAATTGAAATATATTGATATAAAGCACACAGTCGGAACGAAATAAACACGAGCAGTATTCTTAAAAAGGTGATTTATTTTTTTATTTAACGGAGGCGACTGAAAAACGCGCATAAACACGCACTGTATAACATGTTTATTCAGGCTTGACGCGATATTTCCGGTGTGTAGGAGTGGTCGTGCAGGGAGAGGAGGAGGAGGGTGAGGGAGGGACGGTGGAGGGTGAGGGACGGAGGGGGGTGAGGGAGGGAGGGAAGGAGGAGGAGGGTGAAAGATGGAAGGGGAAGGATATGGGAGGGGGTCGAATAATGGAGAGGAGATGGAGGGAGAGGAGAGAAAGGTGGGGGATGGAGGAACGTAAGAAGGGAGGGGAGTAGAAGGACTGGCAAGGGGACGGGAAGAGAGAAGAAAAATAATGAGAGGGGGTGGCAGTGAAGTAGACGGAAAGGGAATGGAGGTAAAGGGAGGGGGAGGGGGAAGAAACGAAGCGATGAGACGGTACCGTTAGTGAGGTGACAGCAGCGACGGAGCTGTTATGGTATGGACGGGGGGCGGAGTGATGGCGCTATCAAAATTTGTCACGCATCTTTTTTCTTTGCCGTTTTAAGAGCAGATAACTGGCACCGGCCTCCAGCGTCGTCATACATTAGTCATTAGTCACTGTAACTAAAACAATGAAGGTGTTAGGTAGTGGTAACGATGTGCTTAAACACGAAATCCGGTGAAAAATAAAAATGCTTGGAAATTCTCAGTGAAAAGAGGCCGGTTTTCAACGGCTGGTGTTCGAATGAATTCAATATGACTTCTCCATTTGACTTTTAATTTGTTTCATGTGATTTCTGTAATATTCTTATTTTACATAATTTATAAATATACTTAATGTAGTTAAAAGATTTATATTAAGGGTGTGAAAAACAAATTAAACGAGATGAGCGACAGTTTTTCCCTACTGGAGCAGGGGAATCGAATGAGGGTATACAATAGCCTTATGGGCTGTCGAGCCACGCACCGGGAAATTTTTGGAATGGTGAATTTTCTCTTGTGAACACTTTTGCCAGCGAGGCTTGAGAACATTTAGGCCTAGTTCACAGGCCTATAGTTGCTCAACATATGGCGGAAATTCTTTTGGATTTATTTTTCAGGTATATATATGTAGTTTAATATATAGAGACATTACATTTGTAACTGATTTATAGAAATTGACGGTACACAATCCTGCAAAAGTGTAACAACATAGTTTTATAGAAAATAAATCAGGCTTAACAAACCATGCTCTATTATTTGGAAAAGTTAACTAGCTAGTTAACCCTGTAATCTTCAGGGTAGTTAACAAATGGAATGTATTAGGCAGTGAAGTAGTGGAGGCTGACTCCATACACAGTTTCAAGCGTAGATATGATAGAGCCCAGTAGGCTCAGGAATCTGAACACCAGTTGAAAGGCAGGACTAAAGAGCCGAAGCTCAACTCCTGCAAGCACAACTAGGTGAGTACAACTAGGTGAGTACGTGGGTAAACAAAAATAACTTTTTGTTTTCATTATTATACGTTTTTCCCGCCAAAAACACTTTTAATTGTTGATATACAGCCTAAAGTCCTCAACCCACAGCCTTCAATCTTCAACCCTCAACCTTCAACTTTTAACCCACAACTCTCAGTGATGAACCTTCAATCCCAAATTCTTATCCCTCATCCCTCAACTCTCTGCCCTCATCTCTAACCCTTCAACCATCAGCACTCAGCCCTCAAGCCTCAACCCTCTCCAAGTGGGTCCCGAGCAGCGGCCTGACATGGGAGATGGAGATGGGTCCTTAAGAGCAGGAACTGAGTACAATGGCAGTGACAGAGGAAGAGGTAAGAGATCAGCTGGAGGTACTTGACGAGACAAAGGCTGTGGAACCTGACGGGATCTCAACAAGGATT